GATGGCTCGATTCGTCCCTCAGGTGAGCCGTTGGCATTATATGTCCCACCCTTCACTCCAAACACTCCCACACAAATAGATTGCCCTTCTCTTTTTCAACTGAACTAGATTCTCCTTAGTTTTTGGTATTGAATTTGGTATTTGAAGAGAATTCAGGGTATTTTCAGTGTGTTATTGATGAACAGGGTTTAATCCATATCGATTTTTCAATTCATTTTTGGAAATATTTGAATTGAATATGTGTGTTTGGCTTTTGCAATAACATTTGCAGATGAACTGTTTGATGATTCGCAGGTGAGTAAAATAACAAAAATGGGAAATGAAAGGGGTCCTCCATGGTTGAAGCCGATGCTGAAAACTTATTATTTCTTTCCCTGTCCGTTTCATCTAATCAAAATCAGTATATTTCATTCATTATTAGCCATAATCCAATCTCCTCCTTTTGCTTATATTCCAGTGAAATTGAATTTTATTAATTCTTGTTTTTCATTTTAAATAACATTCCAATTGGCATTTGATGTAGGTGAAACTAAAGCAAGGCTTGAAGATTGCTATGTCTATATCTGGAGAAGGAAATGCTTATTTACAAGTATGCCTCTTTTTTGGAATTTCATACGCTACTCTATTTATTGATTATCTAAGATATAGTAGCTTATTACCTGTTAAACCAAATAAGAAGTTCATTTAAATTCCTTCCATCATTAGACATTCTTCTGTTCTGTCATCTAAGCAGAATACTTGCTGAACTCATATTTAACCATGTATGAAAGCCAATTTCGGAAGCTTTACAAGGAGGATCGACCTTCCTGTTCCGTGGTTATGAAAACATCAGTTGGAATAGTGTATCTTCTCACATGTCTCTTAGAGCCTTTTATGCCATCATTTTCCCTTGAGGTAATGAAAAAAAAGTAGCTCAGTGCAGCAATTTATGTATAAGTGCGAGATCAGAAACTAGCTCATCGATTCTGAATGACATGTAGGTACTTAAACGGCTAAACTTGCCCCTTGAAACTCAATTTTCACTTTCTGATGAAAAATGTGATGTTTGAAAGGGCGAAAAGACCTTGGGAGATCATAACTGCAGGTCATAAAATTGGAACTCCAGCACCACTCTTCAGAGAACTGGTACGTGCTTTGACTTATTCCTTGTCTCTTTATTGGCATCTTGTTTTTCTTTTCTGATCATCACCGAAGTGATTCCTTTTTGTTGCTTGCTCAATCAAATAAATAATTTGCAGGGAAATGTAGAAGTTGAGTTCTTCAGAGAGAAATTTGCGGGAAGTCAAGCTGATAGGATTGTAAAGGCAGAAGCTGAAGCAAAGAAACTTGCTGACAAATTGAAGGGAACTAACGTCTCAGGTCATGCTCTTTTCTTTACAATTGATTTTCGAAATAATTATTGGATCT